TACACCAAAAATCGAAAAAAATAAACATTCAAAAATCAAGTAGCGGGACAAAACTTTTCGACGGTTATAAATGAAAAATCATGATTTAACGGTTATTTTAACTCCGATTTTGATGATTTTTTTTTATAGCTACACTCCTTAACCCTATATGAATACAATGACTGAATTTGATCTTCAATTTAAAATATTTACACTAGTGGATACCACAAAATCTTATGTTATATTTAACGAAAGTATAAATAAACTCTTAATTGTTAGTGAATATATTGTTTTGATGGCATACGCATTCTAAGAAACTAGTTTCAACGATCCAACCGTCAAACTTGTTTGTTTATACTTCGAGATCATCTACACCAAAAATCGAAAAAAATAAACATTCAGAGATAAAGTAACGGGACAAAAAATTTCGACGGTTATAAATGAACAATCATGATTTAACGGTTATTATAACAAACCATCATCTTTACATATAATAGACGACCATTTTTTATAAAAAGCGTCATCTTTATATATAATAGACGACCCTTTTTTAAAAAAAAAATCGTCATCTTTACATATAATAGACGACGGTTTTTAATATTTAACGAAAATATAAATAAACTCTTAATTGTTAGTGAATATATTGTTTTGATGGCATACGCATTCAACGAAACTAGTTTCAACAATCCAACCGTCAAACTTGTTTGTTTATATTTCGAGATCATATACGCCAAAAATCGGAAAAAATAAAGATTCAGAGATCAAGTAATGAGACAAAACTTTTCGACGGTTATAAATGAAATCATGATTTAACGGTTATTTTAACTCCGATTTTGATGATTTTTTATAGCTACACTCCTTGACCCTATATGAATACAATGAACAAGTTCGATCGTCAATTTAAAATATATATTTTCTAACAAAAACCTAATCCGAACTACACTAATATATTTTTCTAACAAAAATCCGATCCGATCTAAAATAATAAATTTAAAGCTACTTAATAAATATATATAACGTTTAATTTCTTAAGTGTTATGCATACAAAATAAAAAACAAAAAAAAATTGGTTTAGGTGATGAAATGTTTGGATTACGTCATGCAAAGATTTTAAAAAATAATTTTTTTATTTTTTATAAAGATTTTGCCGGATGAAGTTTATTGTTTTGTCGTGCAAAGTCACTTTGAGCGACGATATATTGTCGTCGCGCATAGTGACTTTGAGCGACGAATTATTTTTCGTCGCGGAAGACTTTGAGCGACAAATAGTTTTTGGTCGCGCAAGGTTTTTTTGTTTTTACTAGTGCCTATGATGACTCATGAGCTTCTTCAAGGTTCTTCGGATTCTGAGCATGTATTACATTTTGTTGTCAAAATCATATGATCTGCTAACCAACACAAAAACAACATAGTTAAATTCAAGAGTGACAACTAAATCAAATAATCCGAATTTGAATTCTGGAAAGATGAGAGAAATTACCAGAGCAAAAAGAGGAAAAACAATTGTATACTTCCGCAATGATGAAACCTCCTGAAGTAAAACGATCATTTTTTCACGAATGGTTTGTGGCAAACAAGTTATCGTCGGTCACTGCCATTCTGAAGGTCGATCACCCTTGCTTCCCAACGTATTTGTGTAGCAAACATGCGCGCCATCTCAATAGCTCCCACTTTATCATCACAGAGAACAACCCATCCCTGCCAACCGGCCATAATTCACATCTCAAAACTAGGAAAGACAGACAAAATTGGGTGCATTAATTATAAAACCATATGTATCTAGGTTGCCATTACCATGCTTGAAATCAAACGATGACTGTAGCTTAATTCGTAAATCCTTCAGACTTTTTGAACTGACATCAAAGTTTCAT